TATATATATATATATATATATATATATATATATATATATATACACACACACACACACACACACACACACACACACACACATACACACACATACATACACACACACACAATGGAATACTACTTGGAAATGAGAAAGAATGAAATCCTGCCATTTGCAACAACATGGATGAATTGGAGGGTATAGTCAGAAAAAGACAGATATCATATGTTTTCACTCATATGTGGAACTTGAGAAACTTAACAGAAGACTATGGGGGAAGGGAAGGGGAAAAAATAGTTTCAGAGAGGGAGGCAAACCATAAGAGATTCTTGAATGTGGAGAACAAACTGAGGGTTGATGGGGGGGAATGGGAGAGGAGGAAAATGGGTGATGGGCATTGAGGAGGGCACTTGTTGGGATGAGCACTGGGTGTTGTATGTAAGCGATGAATCATAGAATCTACCCCCAAAACCAAGAGCACACTGTATACACTGTCTGTTAGCTGACTTGACAATAAATTTTAAAAAAAGGAGTCAATTACTAATATTAACAGCTAGACAGCTGCCAGATGTTTCAAGGGTACCCAAGACTGAGGATGGTTTACATTCATATCAATATGGCCTGCCTTTGGTGCATTTGATCCCCATGATCATTGTGCTGACAGCGCCTGCTCTCTTTCAGACAGTGGCCACTCAAAGACGGTGTGCATTTCCCACCAGCATGCATTTTAGTGACCTCAGTTTTGAGAGCTGAAGAAACAAATGGTATACGTTGTGGAGGCTACTTTCTAGAAAGGTTCATTTGTACAAAATTAAAGCTTCATATATGAATTCGTGTGAATTGCATTGTGTGTGTGTTTGCTCCTAAAATACAGGTAAGTCTAGTTTTTGTAAAATGATATGTGTTCTTTTGTTTTGATGACCATATCCAGGACTTTTGTATTCTTTTAGAAGTTAATTTTAATAGTTGTTATTGATTGATTTAGGTGCAATACTCTGAAATACTCTGAATACGTGAATTCCTTTCATTGGCTATTTGACGGGTGTAATCAAGGAACTTAAAATCTCATAGATATCATCAGAATATATAAGACCATCTGATTATGCAAGTCTTTATTTACTTCAGAAATTTGACATTTTGGGCTGCGATTCGGTATCAAAGTAAACATTGAAAGAAAATGTCAATGTGTTTAGGAAGCGAAAAAGAAGTATAATTTGTTTGGAATAATAATCCCGTATTTATAAGAGCAACTACCCATCACTCACAGTTATGTCCCTATCTGTAAACATCTATCTATATAACATTCTCATTTGTATCTCTAGTACATTTTTTATTGTTACTTTCTCCCATTCTTTCATAAATTTTGGGCATATTTTTGGAGATCTTCAAAAGGAGTTTAGGTACTTTATGAATGTACATTAGAAGTCATTGACTTCTTATCGATCATATGTTTAATATTATGTATTTTTCTATTTTAAGTTGGTTTATAAATTCTTAGGTTAACTATTTAGAAAGTACTTGGAATGTGTTTGTCAGCAAAATAAAATCCCTAAGTGTTGTCCATTCTAGTTTTGCTATAGCTTCAGTGTGGTATAATTTATGTATAATAACACCTTTTCAAAGGAAACGATTTGTTGATATTTGACATATAAGGAGTAATGAAGCTATCAACACAGTAAGAGAATAAACACACTCCATCACTCCCAAAGTTTGCTCCTGCTCCTTTCTAAGCCATCTGTCCTCCTCCTTTGAGGAGGCATTTGAAAGTCTCCTGGAGATTGCTTGAGGGTTTGTAAAGATGATTCTTTGTGACAGATATATTGTAAATGTCTTTGATGGATTCCTCGTTGTCTCCAATATTATTTCAGCTTCTCCATATTTTATCCTACCATTTCTCTCTTGGCTCTGATGTGTTTGGAATTCTGTGGAAACATAACATTATTACTGCCTCCCTGGGAATTTGTGCATTTCTAATTTACCTCTGGAGAACTGTATTTGCTGTTAGTATACTAAAGTACCTTATATTTTTTAAATCATAAATAAGCAGAAAATTTTATACTCACTGTGCCTTTATATGCACTCAGTATTACAAATTTCCTTCTAATCTGTTCAATTTTCACTGTCATTTAGATTGAACTATTTAAAAATTTCTGTAGAAATGTCTTCTTTGACCCATATATTTTTTAAGTTCAAGTGTAATGTACATACAATGTAATATTAGATTCAGGTGTGCATTACAATTCTACAGTTCTTTACATTTCTCAGTGCTCATCACCTTAAGTGTACTCTTGATCCCCTCTTTTGCCCATTCTCCCACCAACCTCCCCTCTAACCCATGTGTTCTTTAGAAGCTTATTTAATCTACAGTGTTTTTGTCATTTTCCAGCTATCTTTCTGTTTGTGAGGTCTAATTTGACTCATTTGTGGTCTGAGGACATACTTCCTATGATTTCTGTTATTGTGGCTGACCAGATGTATCTTATGGCCGCAAATATGGCCTGTCTCAGTGAATGTTCTATGTGAGCTTGACAGGAATGTATAATCTTCTGTTGGATGAGGTATTCTACAGATGGTAATGGATCCAGTTGATTGGTGGTGCTGTTCAGGTCATATGTGATCTTACTGAATGTCTGTATGCTGGATCTGTTGGTGCCTGATAGAGGGTATTGAATTCTCCAGCTGTAGTAACAGATTCAGCTCTTTTCTACCAGCAGTTCTGTCAGTGTTGGCCTTGTGTATCTTGACACATCGGCATGCACATTAGAAATTGTTGCGTCTTTTTGGAGAACTGACTTCTTTAGCATTGAAGTAACGCCAGTCATTATCCCTGACAATTTTCCTTACTCTGTAGTGTGTCTGAAGGATAATTTCACTGGATACAGACAGTTTGATGTTTAACACTTGAAATATTCTCTTCTTCTTGATTGTGTGGTTTATGAAAAGAAGTCTCAGATATTTCTTATCCTTGTTCCTCTTGGGTAAGGTGTTCTTGCTTCCTTCTCTCCTTACACCCCCATCCCCTGCTCCAGATTTCCAAAGCTGTTTTAATTATCTGTAGTTGAATATTATACATTAAGTGTAGTTGGTGGGTTTTTTGTTGTTGTTGTTAGTTGTTTGTATGTTTGTCTTGGGTATTTGTCCTGCTTTTGATTTTTTGAGAATCCTGGATCTGTGATTTGGTGACTACTATTTACTTCGGAAAATCTCAGTCATTATTGCTTCAAATATCTCTCTTTTCCATTGTCATGGTATTCCTAACGTGTGTGCTACACATTTTGCAATTGTCCCACTGGTCTTGGGTTTTCTGTGCCATATTTTTAACTTTTTTCTTTGTGTTTCCTTTTTGGAAGGTGCTCCTGGAATTTCTTTAGGCTCAGTGATTATTTCCGTAGCTATGTTGAGTCTGCTAATCCATCAAAGGCATTTTTTATTTCTGTTATGGTGCTCTTGATATCTCGAATCACTTTAAAGTCTTAGAGGTTCATCTCTCTGCTTACATTCACCATCTCTTTTTGCATGTTGTCCACTTTTTTTCATTATCTGCATTATCATAGGAATGGAAGTGGTTTTAAGTTCCCAGACTGATAATTCCTACATCTCTGCCATAGGAAGTGTGATTCTAGCGTGTTTTCTGTCTGTGTTCAAACTGTGTGGTTTTTACTTTACTATGCCTTGTAAGTTGTGTTGAAATGTAAATGTTACGTGCTGGTAAAGAAACTGAGGTAAATAGGACATGAGTGTGAGGTTTTTATATTTATCTGGCTAGGGGTTAGGTTGAATTTACTTCCAGGTGAGACAGGAAGGAGAGAGCCCTGGCGTTGAGTATTTTCCCTCACCTATATTGCTTACTCTTTGGGAAATCCCCAGTTAGTCTCTTAGTTCCTCTCGAGGGCAGATCTTTTCTGGAAGAACAGAATACTTTGGAATTTATTTCTAAATGAGTATCTCCCCCTCCCCCTGCCACTGTAGGACACTTGCCTTCACAAAGAAACACAACTATTAAGTATTTTGTGTGTTCATATTCCTTTTCACTTCCCCAGCCCGTGGGGATGGGTGACAAGGGACAGGGAAGCTCAGAGGTTCCTAAGTGGCTTTTTGATAGCATGATGATATTCCAATATCCTGGCAAGAGTGTAGGGCTGGCCTCAGCCTCTCATCATCCTTTAAAACTTTAGAATGGGGAACTATGTTGATGGTGTCAAAACAGGATCATGCCTAGATTTGATTGGGCTAGAATTTATCAAGGGTGACTGAGGTCTGCAGAGCACTTTTTGTTCTTTTGTTTGAAACACTAGCTGTCATTTCTGTTGTTGCTTGTGCTTTAGCTGTAGCCGTGTTTTATTCTTTTTCTCATTTGGTGGCTTCTATTTCGTTTGTAGCAGTCTGGAAAAAATCATGGCACCTGATGTGCTATAACTCTGTATGAATTAAGTAAACAGCCAACTCCATGTAAGATTTCAGAAGAGCTTTCTAGAGAATGAAAGAAGTATATCTTAGCACAAAGGTTTTGCTCTTCCTTCCTTCTCTCCCTCCCTCCCTCCCTCCCTCCCCTCCCTCCCGTCCGTCCTTCCTTCCTTCCTTCCTTCCTTCCTTCCTTCCTTCCTTCCTTCCTTCCTATTTCTTTATTTCAGTATTTAAAAATAATCCTAGTTCTAAACTTCAGTGTGGATACTGGGTTTAAAAAAAATAAGTGAGGGAAATGATGATTTAGTGCATTTTTTAAATGTCTGTATTATCAATGGTCAAAATTGAATAGGCTGAATGTTCACTTAATATAAACAGATTTTTGGTTCAAAAAAAAAGCTATTTACGTTGTGCTCTTTAACAGAAATTGTGAAGTACCATGACTTAAATAGGAAGTTCTAACTTTTTCTTATTTTTTAATCCTGTGAATTAATTATGCAAAATAAAATTATTGTAATTTAATTGGATTACTATTTTGCTGTTTATCAGGAACTATAGGTTTTTACTAATAATATGTTTTGACAACAAATTTAATTTTGTTTTTTCCCCTCTTAGAGCCTCGAGGATATCATGGTAAGAATTTAAGCTTTAGTTTTCTTTGCAGTATTTTCTCAGTACCGGTGTTTGATGTGGGTTTTTTTTTTAAATGTTTATTTTGAGTGAGAGAGACAGAGTGTGAGTGGGGCAGGGACAGAGAGAAAGGGAGACACAGAGTTCGAAGTGGGCTCCAGACTCCTCGCTGTCACTACAGAGCCCGATGGGAGCGTAGAACCCATGAACCTTGAGATCATGACCTGAGCCAAAGTTGGACACTCAACCAATTGAGCCACCCAGGTGCCCCTTGATACGCATTTTAATTCAACTAAGGATAAATATGGTGACTTCTCATGTCTAATTGACTTGTTAACTCTTGAAATTCATCTTTCTCTTCCCTGTTTGGAGCCTAAGTGACAATGTGCAGGGAGTTGCCATCTCTTAAGACATCAGGAGGAGGAACACATCACCAGAGTAGAGGGAATGAAATGAGTGTAATTTTACATAGAAATGGTTAGGAAACAAGTGATGATATGGGCCTGAGGTTTGGAGTGAGTACTTTGCCATGACCTGGCTCTTGGTGACATGTGAAAATGAGAAAACACTCTATCTACAAGCCTATCAAGAAGCCTATGCTTAGAGACGAAGCTAGATATTGCCAGGTAGGGTGTGCGTCACAAGAGAGGTTTAAACCATGGTTTGAGTCTGAGCTGGAGGGAGCTGTTCATGCCAGGGTAGAATGAGTGGAAATGAATTTGTTGCAAATGGGGGTAATGTACTCTGCATGGGCTCCATAGACTGTGGTGATTCTATGGTGCTGTCTGTTGAGAGCCAGGGTGGCTGCCTGACACTTAGAAAGCCCTCAAATTGAGGCTGGTGTTTATCCCTTTGAATGCAGTGGTGGTGGCAGTGAGAAGAGTGATCTCAGGGCATGAGAGCTCTCACACTGGGCCAACAGAAGAGAAGTTTGCACTTTATGGTCGGATGAGATGATTAATCCCGGTTAGAGGAGTCTGTTCTAGAGCTTACATGTGTTATCCACCTGTAATTGGGTGCTTCATGTGTGTTGAGTAATATTCCTGTAAGGTTGGAGGGTAACATTCTCATGTTGGGATGAAACAAGTTTGTGTTCTAGGAATTGCCATTAATCCAGATCCTCCAGCCACTAAGTGTAAAGCTGAGATGGTACCTGTATGTTTGATTCCAAAGACTTTGTCCTCCAGGGCCTCCAGTCTCGGGTTCATGAAAGGCAATCTGTGAGCAGCAGGAAGTCATCCAAGGCCTTTGAGTAGTCAGTCAGTCAGCAGTTTGAGCTTTCCTTGTGTGGAATTCCAAATAGCACCTGGGGGGTCTAAGTGGCTCAAATCGAGACTACATGATGGTTTTTTTGTTTTTGTTTGTTCCTTTATTTGCAGGGACCTATCTATCTGTACCTTAATAATTGGAGGAGAGAAATGTAAGTTGATAGGATTTGATTTTTCTGTTTCATCTCTGGTGGTGACCTAAGTATTTGAAATGATTGAATTCTCCAAGAAGGGTGCTTCCAGATGGGAGAAAAATTGGAAGATATTTTATTGTGTTTCTCCATTTTGGACAATATTTTAAATAGGAATCTCATTGAAATAAGGTTTTCTTAGGTTTAAAATGCTGCTAAAACTTCATTTCTTCAGGCACAACGGGAAAGCTAAAATGTTAGTTACACCCACCTGTCAGATCCTGTGTCTGTGCTGCTCATACATTGGGATTATTCGATGTCACTGGTTTGGTAACAACCTTAGAAAATGTCTTATCTCCTTTTAGTTAGTTTACAGTGAATAACTGAGAAGCTCAATACTTTTAAGAAAGAAAACAGAGAACTTTACTTGCTGAAGAAATATCCATTTGGGAACAGAAGGTAGCATTGCCCTTTCAGATATTTTTTGTGATTTCATTTTGGTTACTTCCACTCTGGAAGATCATCCTACTGACCTATTTCATGTGTTTTGTAAACAGTACCAATTCAAGACAAGCTTCACAAATGTAAAGAGCTACCTCTTTATTTGTGAAAGGAGTCATACATTAGAAGACAGGTTTATCTAGCACTATGCTTTTTTTAAAAAATTCTGATTCCTTTTTTGTGTTTTATACAACAGTGAATTAAGGAAATGTCTTCAGGAAACTAAGAGAGAAAGTAAGTTTCCCTCTGATGAAGCTCTTAAATTGAAGGTAAGAATCCCTTCTTTGCCTGGATTGCATTCTAAAAACACAAGTAAAAGTAACAAATTATTATTACTCATTCAACATGTTTTGTTGAAGGAGAACATCAAAATAGTGGAACACTTTAATGAAATTAAAAAAAATAGTGTTTATTAATTTTTTGAGAGACAGGGAGAGACAGAGCACAAGAAGGGGAGGGGGTAGAGAGAGAGGGAGACACAGAATCCAAAACAGGTTCCAGGCTCTGAACAGCACAGAGTCCGACACAGGGCTCAAACTCACAAACCACAAGATAACGACCTGAGCTTAAGTCAGATGCTTAATTGACTGAGCCACCCAGGCACCCACTTTAATGAAATTTTAAATGACACCTTCAAAGTGCACTTGCTACCTTGCAAACTCAGAGAGAGAGAGAGAGAGAGAGAGAGAGGAATGTGAAGAATCAGGAAGTGGTAAGAGCTGGCTGCTGAGTTTTACTGTAATTTGGCTTTGGAGGCTTTTTGTTCATTGGGTGAAGTGAGCACAGCATATTTGCTTGCCATTTACCACAGTAGAGAGTAGGCCTCTGGGAGCCAAACCTCTTTCTGAACAATGAGCTAGAATTTCACTAGGACCACCAAGATGAGTTTTGCTATTTCAAGGACTAGGAGTTATCTTTTATTTTCACAACTAGGTAATTATCACATCATTCCACTCTGCCCTCCAAGATATGTAGAAAATACCCAAATATAGTTGAGACACAAAGGGTGATAGCCAAAGTGTATAATCCTTTCCTTTAAAAAAATATTTTAAAATTATTCTTTATGAATTTTTTAAATTTTAGTGAGAGACGGCATGTGAGTGGGGGAGAAGGGCAGAGGGAAAGAGAGAGAATCTTAAGCAGGACTCATGCTCAGTGTGGAGCCCAACACAGGTCTGGATTGCATGATCCTAGAATCATGACCTGACCCAAAATCAAGAGTCTGATGCTGAACTGACTGAGCAACCCAGGTGCTCCATACTCTCTTTCTCTCTTAATGCTGAACCGTGAATTTTCAATGTAAATGGGGGAGGGGGGATATACACAAACACATACATACACACGTGTATATAAATATATATATAAACATGTATACCACTAAGAAAGCCATTTATGAGTTATTTAGACATGAACTATTTTCCACCATCTTTGTCTTCTAGTTATAGTCATGCCTCAAGGTCTTTGTTTATTGCAATGCATGATCCTGCTGTGTGAGGTACACTCAAATTGTTGTGCGATCAATTTTCCGTGAAAAGTCTTCTCATGTGTGTCTTAACCACAAGGTGCAAATGTTGAATTCAAGGAGGTAGAGCTAAGAGCCTTGAGGTCCAATAACTGCCAACTGGAAGGTATATTTTCTGTTGGGGAGAAATCCCCATGTGATGGCAATGACTTGGTATTGGTAAAGGAAAGAATACCTTCATGCCTTCATGGTTCTTGCCCTTTTTCTGTCTCACCAAAATCAAGGCACAGGTCATGTGCATGTTTATCAAGAAAACACCTTTTTTTTTTTTTTTTTTTTTACAGAAAATAAAAAGGCCCTGGAAGACAAGTGTAATGCATTGAGGTCTGTGAAAGCAACAAAGGAAGCAAAAGTCAAACAGCTGAAGGAGAAAGCACATAACCTGGAAGAATTCTATGAACAAAGAAAAGTGCCTACAGAAAAGTAAGATGTTCATGTGAGAACTGTCACAGGACTGCATTGTATGAAAGAATGTGGCGGCCAGTAGAGATAATTATATTTCTTTTGGAACGGGGTCCAGAGTATTTTTGCCAAATGCATTCAGTAGAATTGTGCCTGCCCTTCCTACCTTGCTTTCTGTAACATAACCTGCATTTTCCTTTCTGTCCTAAGTGCTTGTCACACATTGTGTCATGTATTTGGGGTGGAAGAGGGAAGGTACAGCATAATAATATTGATACCTGGATCCACTCTGGATCCACCTACATTGTCCTATAGGTTTTAGTCCCATCACACTGTTTTGTCATCCAGCAATTAGGTCATTTTTGTTTAGGACCAGACAGGGGTCAAAAATGTGTGGGGAAAAAATTGAATTATCTTGCTGCAGAAATAATAGAAAGTGGAAAGTTGGAAAGTGGGTAGGGGTGCCACCAGTACTGGATCCCTGCATCCGTTCTGCCAGTGAGATTGTTCACTGCAGGCCCAATCCCTAAGAAAGTCGAGTTGTTTCCTGTCCCCTGATTTTTTAAGTGTAACTCCTCTGAGTCTTGACCAAAGCCTGCAGCTTTACTAGGGCTCATCTTTGCTGGCCGCCCCTGAACTACACTTGTTTACTTCTAAGTCTCTGCCCAAAAGTTGTTCAGCTTCTTTGCTGTTCAAATGAATGCCCCCCAAATCAATGATGAGTCCTAGGGAGACTGGGTCCAACTGCCAGCCTGGCTTTGTCCTGGGCTTCCTTCTTCTCCATCTTGGTCTTGTGTGTCTTTGTGGGGTTGTTAGATATTTGGTGCGTTCAGTCACATGCTTCCTCCTTTGTACAGTATTTCCTTTTGTTCTCAGGAGGAGATTGGGGACTTTAGAGTCCCTCATTCATGTTGGAAAGGAAACTCTTCCTTCTCTTCCCTGGAGACTCAGCTTTATGTTAGTCCTTCCCACACCTGGGGTTAGGGCCTGCTCTGTCTCACTGGCATCTTGTTTTTTTTTTTAATTTGTAAGCTCTTTCTGTGAGTGGGTACAGCACCCTGACCACCTCTCTGTCTTCAACCCCTTACAACAGAGCCACTACATTACAACCACTCCAGAAAGCATTTGCTGAAGGACTGCCTGAGAGGCCAGAAGGAAATGCATGTGCCTTTCTCTGTCTAGTGCTTTTGTGTCAGTTTCCAAGAGATACTCAATTTTGCATGTGATTCTTGAGTATATCAAGTGTCAAGTTGAAACCCTCTAAATCAACACCACAAACAAAATAGTCTGAGGGTAACACAGCAAACCAGCTTTGCCAAGCATTTCCTTTTGCTGCCTTCACTATCAATGGAATGAGTCTTGTTAAAGTAGATTTGGCTTCATGAATTTGAGGGTTTTCCATCTGAAATCTGTTTCCTGGAAGTAAACCCAGACTGTGACAGTTCATATCAGGTTGTACGTCAGGAGATGATGTTGTTCAGGAGATGTTGCCGCTCTAAGATTGGCCTTTTCCTCCACCAGGATAGGTGAAGGTGGAGGCAGGGGTTGCAGTCCTGAACTCTGGCGATATCTGGGAGTGAGCTGCAATGTTGGTGAAGCCATATCCTGGAAGGTCGTCTTTCAGGGTGATTGTCTGTGTCATGGTACAACTTTTAGACTGAGAATCAGGGCTCCCCATGGAGGTGTAAGACTAGTGATGATCCCCTGCTTCATCCTAATGGGAATAAGTTGGTCAGACATGGTTTTTCACTCACTGATGAAATGAGTCTTCACCATCTCAAACAAAAGACCAACTCTGGGAAGGCATAAAGTACAATGTTGTTTGATGACTTTATGATAAAGGAGAGGAAACAGAGAACTAGAAAGTTCTGATAGCAGAGACGTGGCAGCAGACAGAAGTTGAATTTTCTTGAACTTAAATGGGGTGTTCATTTCTTTGATTGTGTTGTCAGTCTGTGCATGTATGGGAGAGGTGGGGGAAGGGATATTTGCATAGGCCTTCAAGAGTGCTGGGAGGTAAAACGGGGGATCTCCTGGACCTTGGTCCTGACTGTGTATATATCTTTCCTATCTTAGGAAGCTGAAAATGACACTGTGAACTGGCGGCAAAGAAGAATCAGCTGGCCGCTGCAGGTAAAATTTGAAAATAGCTACAGAAGGGGAGCCTGGGGGGCTCAGTCATTTAAGTGTCCAACTTCAGCTCAGGTCATAATTTCACAGTCCGTGAGTTTGAGCTCCATGTGAGGCTCTGTGCTGACAGCTCAGAGCCTGGAGCCTGCTTTGGATTCTGTTACCTCTCTCTCTGTCCCTCCCCTGCTCATGCCCGCTCTTTCTCTCTCTTTCTCTGTCTCAAAAATAAATAAACATTAAAAAAAAGAAAATAGCTACAGAAGAAATAAACAAGTACGAGTTCAGCTACTAATTACCAGAAGCTCATGAGACCTCTGTTCATTTTTTTGTTTTTAACCTTTTTACAGTGTGTAAACTCAACATAGTAATATAAACAAAACTTCAGAGGACATATGCATAGAGTATTAACAGATAAAGAAGGTAAGTTTTAGAAAGAACAAAACAATTAAGTTTCTAAACATTTGCGGATCTCAAGCAATGGCCAGACTACGTGGAAACTTCGTCCATGCCAACACTCCTCGGGGGTGATAATCAAGTGTCATAACCTATAGGAGAGCAGTGTGTCGTACCATGAATCATACCCATCAACATGGTAGTGCCATTTCATGGCCCTTGTCTTTGCAACCCTGGGAAACGTGGTGAGGATATAAGTTAAAGAAGAATAGAGTTTTATGATAAAAGACACGTCACATGATGAGTTAGGGAAAGATTGAAAATGGGAAGGAATTCTATGAACGCTGAACCCTACGAGCCTGGAATACTGAGTAAGGAAAGGACGTAACCATAGCTTTGATCCTACTGTACATTTATAATCATGTGAAATGTGTTTCACGTGTAAGAATAAATTGTATCGGGACAGATATGAGGTTGATGGGAACGTGGGCAGATTATTTAAAATCATACCCAATATTGGGTCTTATCTGACGAGAGCAATTGTAACTCACAGGCAACAAATTGAACAAACACGGGAACAGCTGCAGCAGGCAGAGCTCACCTTTAGACACTAGGTAACCTGAGTTCTGCCTGACATACTGAACCCTTAGCATCTCACGCGGGTGAGTGTAGTGGCTCGTGGGATCCCTAAACATGGGCTTTTCGTTGTTGGCTTTTTCAGCTCGCAGTTCATGAGAAGAATGCTTAGGACAACTAGGTTCTTGTTTCCTCCTCTTTCTTTGGTGCGCACTCTGGCACGACTGAAGGTGGATGTGTTTTTTTCTCCCCCAGATCAAGACTCAGATCTGGGACAGGGAGATGGTGGAGCAGGGCAGGGAGGTCGCTTACTTGAAATACAGGTGTGGTCATTTGACTTGCATTTTTATGGGTGTTTCCAGGGATGACGCCTGCACTGTTAGATGTCTAGTAGACGACGTGGTGTTGCAACTCTTATAGAAGTCCATATTTTTCTGTATCCAAGACTGGACGGGATGGAAGCAAAGAGGCTGCCTGAGGGATACACAAGGCAGAAACCAATGGCTGCAGGACCAGAGATTCAGAACCCTCCAAAGAGAGGTAAGAAGCACGTTGTGATGTGCCCCAGTCTAATTTCTGCTGTGCAGCCTGTTCCTGTGGGTGATCATCGTGTGGTCTGGAAAGAATCACAAGCACTAAGGACGGCAGGTGGTCTGAAGGGGTGACAGAAGGGTGTTCTCCTCTGGTGCCGCAGACAGTGAGGCACTTGTCCCTGTGACTGGTGGAGCTCATGCCCCTTCTCTGACGGTGACCCTCCCACCTCCTCTAGCATCCCCCTGTCTGAAGAGCCTGGGAAGGATGACAGGACATGGGCCTCATCCTTCTTCCCACCCGGACTCAATGCGAAGACTTTAGTTTATTTGAGGAGAAGGCCATTTATTCACTATTTTTAACGGTCTTTATTTTTGTTTGTTTTTGGGAACTGTAGCCCTGCATCCCTCAATTCAAATTCCATAGAGCTTAGCTTAGTCCTCTGATGGTATCAGTGCAACCCTGAAGCTTCACTGCTAACTTCTCATAGTTCTCCTTTTCTCAATAGTGTAAAATTAGTCTTTTGTTATATAATAACTGCTCTCATGTGGAAGGCAGCTTGTAGATAAGCTGAGAGATTGAACAATTCGCCTGAAGTCTGAGGAAACACACCCTTCTTGAGGATTCATTGAGGATATACACCAAACCAGTATTCTCAAATTTATTCTTTTTTTTTTAGGTTTATTTATTTTGATAGAGACATAGTATGTCTGGGAGGCATAGAGTGAGAGGCAGAGACAGAATCCCAAGCAGGATCCACACTGTCAGTGAGGAACCCAAATGCTGGGCTCGAATTCACAAGCTGTGAGATCATGACCTGAGCCAAAATCAAGAGTCGTGTGCTTAACCCAAGCATTAGCATTGAGCCACCCAAACGTGCTCATATTTATTCTTAATCTGTAATGAAATGGTGATTCCCATGATGTATACTGAGAAACCTCTGTTTTACTGATGAATTCTAAATTGCTAGTTGAGCCTGACCTGTCCATAGTTATTTGATTAATTATGAAACAACATGGACCAGGACACCGTGAGGTCTTTATCAAGGTGAGGGGATGGTTCTCCCCCTTATCCTTGGGGGTCACTCAAGGCATGTGGGATACCCTCTGCCTCTGGTCAGGGACCTGAGTGTAGGGAGAAGATTAAGATATTTGAGGAAGGAGATGAGGGATTGTTTTCATTCTGCAAATTCCTCTAAAAGCAGAATAAACCTCTGTCCCTTCTAGGGTCTTTGGTAGATCCAGAAACTGCTGAAACCTCTGTGAGTTAGAGCAGCTCTGACTGCACCAAGAATGCAGACAAGGACAAGGTAAATGCTGGGGCCATTCTCAGTTGTAACTCTTTTGGGAAACTCTCATCTTTATGTACAGCACGCTCTCCCGGCCTTGTCTCGTTTTGCGTGTTGTGTGATATGTCTGTTTTCCAAACGCACACTCATAACCCAGGAGCCCACAGGCTTCTCAATTTTTAGTCTGTCAGCTTTCTGCGGTAAGTTTAGAAGCCAAAAGTGCTCAGAGACGGAGTACCTTAAGGTTTTTCCGTGAGTTTCAGGAAATAATGAGAGGAGGATGACTCCACACTCCAAACAGAGGTCTCCTGGCCTGGGTGACCCCTTCCAGACCTCACCTCTGTGGGAACAGTGTGGCTGCTGTGAATCTTCCTTTCTTGATTCTGGGTAGGAGATGAACCTGTTAGAAACGACATCGTGACTCCAACTTTATATTTTGTGCCCTGTGCCATTTAGAGTGGTCCTAGATAAAGTCAGTGTCATCACTTATCACCTTCCCGTCTTTGTTGGTAAATGAGTTGTCTGGAATCCTTCCAGCTATATCTTAGGTAAAACTAGTTTGAACACTGTGTCCCTCAGTTGTGTTTCTATGAGCAGTTTCTGGTTGTGTCCCCAGTCACTGTTAGAGCTGATACAGTCTCATGACACATACCAGGAGTTTTATACCAAAACACTTGCATGAAATCTGTTATGTGAATTTCTCCCTCTTTTTTTCTGTTGCACATAATTACTGTGTCCTGTAGTATGCTTAAAGTCAGAATTCCCTATGAATTAAGATGAACACATCTGAGCTTTGTAGACCTTCACCACAAGTAACTTGTTCCTCACAGAAGACTCTCATTCCTCTGCAAGATTCCAGGCATCCTCCACTCCCCAGAGGTCTCAGAGGCCTTTGACAACACTTCAAGAGGGAAGACTCCTTTCTCAGGGAGAGGAGCAGAGGAGGCACAGCGAGGGTCCGGCTGCAGAACGTTTTGCCAGGAGTGGCTGTGATTCCATGAGCAGAATATGAGCCATGTATTCCCACTCATTTTTTTTGTGTGTGTGTTCTTAATATACCAAAAGCAGAGCATCTGGAGTCGCTGTAGAGGAGGGATGCAGGGTGAACCTGGACATGGATGGCTGCCTGTCTGGAGAATGCTACTTCATTAATCTGTAATTACTTCTGTTAACCCTCTAGGACAGGACCCTTGCCAGTTTACTTCTGCAGACATGGGCAGTGATGTGTGGTGGCATCCAGTGGCAGGGACAGAGTTTTCAGGTACTGATGCTATTCTCTTGGATCCTGGTGGCAGAGAAGGTGGCAGGTGCTGACACCTTCTTCTCTGGGTTACAGCTGCTTTTGGTATTGGTGCTCTTGTCTGGCATAGGGATGTAGCTGTGACTTCTGTTCTGCAGGGCAGTCTGGATCCTGGGGACCTGCTCCGTTAACTGGACGATTCTGCATGCCCTACCCTGGAGACGCCCCGCCCCCATGGACTATTAGGCACGTCCACCTCCTGAACCTTAGTGGCCCTGAAGCCACCCAGAACCCCTCCACCTGCAACACCTGGTAAGATGATCTGAGCACTGGGAGTTGACTTGTAAAACACACTCACCTTATTTTTGTTGCTGTTAGGTCTTGGGCCAAGGTGCAGAGAAGGTACCACAGACCACTGTGATGCAAGGGGAATGTCTGCTGCCATTACCACATTCCTCAAGTTTCTCAGGATCTCATCTTTGTCATTTCCCCCATCATGGGTGGGTACAGGCGTCTCTTGTGGAGAAGGAATGGGGCCGTATGCAGCAAATCAGACATAGCGCCTCAGCAGAAATGCCCTGTACACAGTCCACATGCTGGGATCTGTGAGGCATGAGGCACAACGTAACGTATGTCCATCTAGTTGTGCCCCCAGCCATCCATAGTTGTTCGCTGAGTGATGAATACATCTGAATCAGGGCTTTTAGGAGTCTTCATCGAGTTATAAGGGATGGTTCTTCAAGTTCTTCTTGGGGATCACCGGAGGCATGTGGGACACCCTGTGCATGTAATTTGGGATCTGACTGGGGCAAAGAGTTTAAGTTGTCGGAAGTATGAGGGGAGGGTTTGTTGTTTTGTTTTTGGTCTCCAAACAGTCTACTCAAGTCAGAATAAACCTCCATCCATTCTAGGGCTTTTTGCAGGTCCAGGAGCAGGTGTCACACCCAAGAGTGACATCGACACTGGCTCTGCCAAAACTGCCGAGAAACACAAGGTAAATGCTGTGGCCATTTTCAGTTCTGTCTTTACGGACATCCACATCTTTCTGTACAAGACACTCTCCTGCCATTGTCTCTGGTTTGTGTGTCGTATGGTATGCCTGCTGTTTTTGTTTTTTTCCCAAATGCAAAACCTTTACCGCCGAGTCTACGGGCTTCCCAGCTGGCATCTGTTTGTGGTAAGTTGAGCAGCAAAGCGTGTCTAAGGGTGGGGACCATAGGGCTTTTCCAGTGTGTTCCTGGAATAAATCAAGGAGGATGACACCACCCTCCACTTGGAAGTCTCCTACTTTGGCTCATTCTCTGTGGATCTCCTCAATGTGGAACCATTGCTCTTGCTGTTTCTTCCTCTCCTGTTTCCTTCTATCGAGGGTTTTAACGTGGTCAGGAAAGTCTGTGGGTATCCTTACAATTTGAAAATGCGAACTGCCTTCACTCCAACTTATATTTTTATATGTGTCATTTAGAATGGTCTTAGACAAAGTAAATGTCATACCCATTAGCATTTTGGTAAACATGCTGTCCAGAATCCCTTCAGGTGTGCCCTGGGTATAAATACTCTGAACTATAAGAGGTGGCATATTTGTCATAGAAAACGTGTACTGGAACTTAAGTTGTGAAGAGGAAAAAATCCAAAATTACCCGTGTGGCAAGTCCCCACAGTGTCCTTCACTTGTGTTCACATGAGCACGTTATCTCGTGTCCTGTGTCACAGGTATCACTAAAACATGGAAACTTACACCAGACATCAAAGTGCGTTTGTGTTAAGTTTGTCTTTTAGAATTTCACCTCATTTTTCCAGAGGACACAATTACCCTGCAAAATGTACTGTACTTAAGCTGAGAAGTACCTCTGAATTAAAAGAAGTTAGACGAGGGGCGCCTGGGTGGCGCAGTCGGTTAAGCGTCCGACTTCAGCCAGGTCACGATCTCGCGGTCTGGGAGTTCGAGCCCCGCGTCAGGCTCTGGGCTGATGGCTCAGAGCCTGGAGCCTGTTTCCGATTCTGTGTCTCCCTCTCTCTCTGCCCCTCCCCCGTTCATGCTCTGTCTCTCTCTGTCCCAAAAATAAATAAAACGTTGAAAAAAAAATTAAAAAAAAAATAAAAGAAGTTAGACGAACCCAACTAACATGTATAGGTTACCTGTTTCTCTAAGAGCATGCTTTCCCAGGCCCTCTACAGACCCTCAGGATCCCCATCTCCCCATGTGTCTCTGTGCCCATGGATAGCACTTCCAGAGAGGAGGAGACCCCATTGTCGGGACAGAAGTAGATTGGGCACAGGCAGGGGCTTAGAGGCAGAGCTTTGAGCCACGAGGGCTATGATTGCATGTGTGGACACTGGCATTGTCATTCCTTTTTATTCTGTAGTTCTTCACATACACATAAGCAGCTTCACATACACATAAGCACCCCTCTGTGGTGGAGGGGGATGAAGGGTGGAGGGTGATCCTGGACAGAGGTGCCTTCCTATCTGGAATATGCTACTTTGCTAGTTTGGTATTCAATCTATAAATCTTGTATGAAAAGAGCCCTTGCTGTTTCAACATTTCCAGACACGTGGAGACACTAGTTTACCCCAATCACCTGGTGGTGGGGAAGCTAGTAGGATAAGAGCACTGCTGCTTTGGCCTTCCGCTTTTTGCTGGTGTTGGTGCTCTGTTCTGTCCTATGAACATACCTTTCATTTCTCTCCCGCAGGCTATTATGTATTCAAGAGGGCCTGGTCCTTTCCCAGGATCGCCTTGCAGGCTGTTCCCCATGGACCACCCTTCACCACCAGTCATGGGCTATAGGCCACGTCCCCCTCCACCACCAGCTCCTCCACCTCCTCTATTTGTTAAGATGACCTGAACTGGATGAGAGGCTGGTAAAGTATATTCACCTTCTTCACGATTGACTTTGTGGGAATGATGTAGAGATGGCTGTGAGTCTTGGCAATGCAACTACCAACTGCCTGAGGACACTGTAGCATATCTCAAGTTTCTCAGGACATACATACAATGGGCAGTGTCATTTCCCTGTAATATGGTGAGCTATACATTTCTCTTGTCAAATGAGAGGATTTTTTACACAAAAGCAGACGTATCAGCAGCACTGGTGCATATTTTGGAGACACAATGTTTTGGGTTCTGTAAAGAATGAGGCGCACCCCTAACTTTTAGAGCATCAGATGTCCTGTGTGAAAGAGGGACATGCATTAAATGACGCAGACCTTGTGATCACCATAATGGAAACACTGGTGAAGGATCCAGTGCAAAAATGGGGGAGCCTTGAATCATACAGGAATAGAAGGGAAGTTGAGCACAGTAAGCAGAGTTTGAGGAGGTGCAGAGGGGAGGGTGTTGGGGTTAGTGAGATGCAGTTGGAGGTCATTCCTGGCCACAGCCTGAGCAGGGAGTGTGAGGTCCACACAGAGCCGCTATGTGGGGTGGCTCTCAGTGCACAATGCAGTGTTCATCTCCAAAATGTCAGTGTGTTGCCAAAGTGCACGCAGGTAATCATTTAAAAAGATTGTCTCCCTGGATTTTCCTGAAGGTTCTGGGTATTTGTGGGGGAAAAAAAGCCCTGGAGATATGGGGAATTTAACTTGGTGTTATGAAAATGCTGTATGCCCAAGTTCCTATCCCTCAGTGAGACTAAAAGTGGAGACAGGATCTAGATCAGCTGAGTGCCTGCATTGGCCTTCAGCCTGAGTCAGACTCAGGCCCACTTAGTGGGTCAACCTACAATTCAGGGTTGGCCAGAAATTGCCCCCGCTGGACCCCTGTCGTCTCCTCAGACTTCTCTCACAATATCCTGAGGTTTTGCCTGTGTTACTGCTATCTCAGCCCTAATACCAGTTCTCAGTGGGACCTACACAGAGGCTCAGCTGTGTTTTCTGTGAAAACGGGTAATATTTGTTTCTAAGAACATTTTAAAAAGAAGACATTATATACATAAAGCATCTGCAAAATCTCTGGGAAGTGTCCACTCACCCTTCTCACAGTTTCAATTGAGATATCTCCACACAAAGATCCTCCAAAAAAGATGGTCATGGGAGTTCATTAAACTAAGACTGTTAACAACTCAGCCCAGGGATTGGGAATCACGGTTTTAAACAATAAGGTAAGGTCCCTTGTTTTTCTATTAAAATTCGGGCCCTGCCAGACAAAGAAAGAAAAGATAATTATGAGCCTGTGTACATTCAGAGATCCAGATCTGAAGACAATCATTTTCCATTACATATAATCTCACAGATGCAGCCACACACTAAAGTGTTCATCTGAGGTCACAGCCACAGATAAACTACAGAAGACAGAATGCCTGTAGGAAGACATAAGATCAGAGGGAAATACCCAAACTCTCTTTGCCTTATAGGACAACTCTTGAAATTTGAAGAGGACTGTGCACGGTGACAGACTATGGTGTTGTGTTTGTATATACATTTTAAGAAGGTGTCAGATCTGCCTGAATGCTTTCCCTGCCCATCCTGTCCCCTCCACTTTGTCCTTCCTACTGTCCCCTAAACCACCTGTCATCGTTTTCTGTGTCGGCGTCTGCTTCTAGACCCATCTACTCTCACTCCCCTTCGAGTGCACACAGTGGGGTTCCTGTACACACAGGTAACAAACTGGCAGAAATAGAGGATAGAAGATCACCCTTTGTGCAGGGGAGCCCGAGGGAGTTTTCTGGGGTGATGGGACCTTCCTATATCTAGATTGATGGGGTGCTTATGCTCATTTATTTTAGAAATATTCACTGACTCCCTGGTGCCTTGGGGTCAGATAGACAGGTATCTGTCCCTGGGAAATGGCGGAGTTCTAATGGTGGGGAAGGATGAGGGACCAGCAGTGACTGTGGGAGAGGAGTGAGGAGGCCACACATGGAGTCAAACCCTTGCCCAGGGTGCCAGGTCTCCACAGACAGCACCACGTGTAGGAGGGCTCTGAGGAGCAGAGATTTCTGGATCAGACCTGTGAACTACATAATCCTCCTGCAGTTTCCTCACTGAGGGAATGGACAGGGTAGAGGCCAGCAGCTGGAGGACACCCTGATCGTGGCTGGATTGGAGCAGAGGACCTGGGGGATTGAGTCAGAGAAAGGGACAGGCAGAAGGTAGCGACAGGGAGTTTGAGAGACAAAGGGAAGGGAAGAGAAGGGACCTTTCTCTGCTGACTTCACCTACATTTCTGTGTGACCAAAAGGAGACTCTTGTCTCCAAGGGTAGGGAAGAGGGCTGGCAAAAAGAGTGACATTCTCAGCTCAAGTGCCCAGGATATCTGCCTTGCTCTTGAGTACCTAACACAGGAAGCCCATGCTTTCTGTCATGGTTGGAACTGCAGCTCATACCATTTAGTGAAAATCAATCCAATTATGAATCCCTCAACATTAAAGTACTGAAAGAAAATTAAGTGAACAGACTGAAAGATACAGCACAGGATAAAGTCCAAAGGTACACTGACTGCAATACTTACAGGAATATAGTCTATCAGAAAAGAAGTTAGGTACCCCAGTGCAGTCATTCAGACACCTGGGCAGTATCTGAAAATGTAAAAAAAAAAAAAATGTAGTCCTTACTTCAAAAGCAACATTAGCACTAGACACAAAGGGATCATGATTTAAGGTTTAGAGAGAAACCATATGACTTCATGGTGCTGTACCCATGAGATCAAGTCTCATCAAATTATACCCTTTAACTTGAAGGCTATTTGTTATATGTAAATTATACTTCATTAAAGAGAGTTTCAAAACATAAAATACAGAAGCAAATGTGGGAAAGTTCCTTTCTAATCCTGAAGTGCGTGCGTGATGGGAGTCTGACCATGTCTCAACAACCCGAAAGATGAAGAGATTTAAAAAAATTAATAATATTAGAGTAAGAGGACCCTGAGCTCACCCTGTCCCATGTTTTCAACTACGTAACATCCACATCCAAGTCCATAACCACAGAGCGATCCAAAGAGTGGCAGAACAAACTCCACAACTAAATAGATAGAAGCTGTACCTGAAAGGTTAGGAAGGTCAGAAAGGTGGAGGGCGGCTGCCTGCAGAGAGGGCAGAGAAAGTGAGCCCTCACACCAGGGAGCTCACACAGGGAAGACTAATCCCCAGAACCTTTGGCTTTAAAACCCAGGGGGGCTGAATTCCCTTGGGTTTGGATCCTGGAGCTTTGGAGGTCAGCTGACCCAGCACTGGGTGATCCAGGAGGATGAGTGATAGCCAGGTCCCTGCCTGTGTAGAGAGGCAATGTAAACATGGCATTTTACACAGTGCCAAGGCAACAGGAGGCAGATCTGTTCATGCTGACTTCTGAGTGGTGAGGGTACTTTTCCAACAATGAGGGAGCTCACAGGGACCATTCCCTCCCCCCCCCCTCGCCCCACCCAGATTAAGCACAGAGGCACTTACCAGGGAGTGGACCTACAAAGACGCTTGCTACCCTACGTGCTAGCTGTGTGCCAGTCCCAAGAGTTCTCTGGGGGACTCACCCACTCCAAGCCTGCTGGCCTCAGGGCAAACTGTTAAAACTGCATGGGCACCTTGTCTGGCCAGCTGCAGGCAAAGCTGCCACTGCACACTGTGCCCAGCTGTACCACACCCAGCTGTGTACCCCCAGCTACCCTCATCTGTCCCACCCCCCCCCACCCCCCCCAGCCCCTGATGCACTCTGTGCACAGCCTTGAGCCCCTGGTTGCCCTGGTCCATAGCTCCCAGCCACCAAAGGACAGCTGTGATTTGTTAACAGAATCTTGGCAAGTCAGAAGGAAGTGACATGACATGTTCAAAGTGCTGAATGGAAAAATCAGCAGCCAAGAATATTCTATCCAGCAAGGCTATCATTCAGAACAGAAGGAGACAGAGTTTCCCAAACAAAAACTAAAGGAGTTTGTATCACTAAACCAGTCCTGCAAGAAATATTAAGAGGGACTCTGAGTGGAAAGAAGAGACCGAAAGTGACAGTAGAGAGGTAGGAAACACAAATCCAGTAAAAATGAATATTTCTGTAAAACATCAGTTGAGGAACTCACAAAAATGGATATAAAATATAATTATATTACCAAAACATAGGGAGGAGAAAATAATGAGTTCAGAGGTAAATGACCATCAACTTAATACAAACAGCTAAAAGCAAAGAAATTATGTAAAAACCTAATGGTCACCATACATCAAAAACCACTCATAAATATGCAAAGAATAAGGAGAAAGAAATCAAATCACTAAGGTAAATCAACAAAACATGAAAGAGAAAGACAAGAAAGGGTTGAGAAAATCATTAGAAACCACAACAAAACAGGTAATAAAATGGCAATACATACATACAAATCAATAATTAATTTGAATGTAAATGGAATGAATGCTCCAATAAAAAGACATAGAGTGTAAAAATGGATGAAAAAACAAAACAGATTTATATGCTGTCTGCAAGTGACCCATTTTAGACCTCAAGACACCTACAGATTGAAAATGAGAGGATGTCAAGAAACATCACACAAATGAAGGTCAAAAGAAAGCCGGGGTAGCAATACATGTATCAGAGGGGGGAAAAAAGAGGACTCAAAGAAAATCACAAATGAGAGGGGCACCTGGGTGGCTCAGTCGATTGAGCCTCCGACTTGGGCTCAGGTCATAATCTCACACCCTGTGAGTTCAAGCCCCGCGTTGGGCTCTGCGCTGACAGCTCAGAGCCTGGAGCCTGTTTCAGATTCTGTTTCTCCTTCTCTCTCTGACCCTCCCCCATTCATGCTCTGTCTCTATCTCAAAAATAAATAAACGTTAAAAAAAATTTAAAAAAAGTAAAATCACAAATGAGAGAGGAGAAATCACAGCCAACACCTCATAAATACAAAAAATCATAATATTATGAAAACTTGTAAGTCAAAAATTTGGACAATTTACAAGAAACAGATAAATTCCTAGAAACATATGTTACATAAACTGAAACAGAAAGAAAAAGAAAACATAAACAATAGCCAGCAAACAAATTGAGTCAGTAATCAAAAAACTCTCAATCAAAAGTAGAGGAGCAGGTGACTTCACAGGTGAATTCCACCAAACAGTTAAAACATGGTTAAGACCTCATCTTAAGCTATTCCAAAATATAAAAAAGGATGGAAAACTTCCAAATTCATGCTATGAGGCCAGCCTTACCCTGATACCAAAACCTGATAAAGAGTCCACTAGAAAAGAGAACTCCGGGCCTATACCCTTGATGAACATGGATGAAAAAAATTCTCAAATACTACCAACCAAATTCAAAAATACCTTTAAAAAATCATTCACCACAATTAAGTGGCTTTGTTCCCAAGCTGCAAGGTGGTTCCATATTTGCAAATCAATCACTGTGATGCATTACATCACTGGGAGAAAGGATAAGAACCATATGATCAGGGCTCCTGGGTGGCTCATCCCTTGAAGCGTCTGACATTGGTTCAAGTCATGACCATATGGTTCATGATTCAAGCCCTGTGTTGGGCTCTCTGCTGACAGCTCAGAGCCTGGAGCCTGCTTCAAATTCTGTGTCTCCCTCTCTCTCTGGCCCTACCCCACTCACATTCTGTCTCTTTCAAAAATGAATAAATGTTTCAAAAAAAAATACGGTCATATCAATACATGCGGAAAAAAGCATTTGACAAAGTACAACATCCATTCATGATTATAACCCCCTAAAGTAGGTTTACAGGGAACATACAGCAATGTAATAAAAGTTATCTATGAAAACCCCGCAGTTAACATCGTCCTTAGCGGGGAAAATCTGAGAGCTTTTCCTATAAGGTCAGGAAGAAGACAAGGATGTTTACTCTCACCACATTTCATAAACATAGTACTGGAAGTCCAAGCCACAGCAATCACACAAAAAAACAAATACAAATCTGGAAGAAGTGAAACTTTCACACTTTGCAGATTACATGACACTATATATAGAAAACCCTAAAGAGTCCACCGAATAACTGCTAGAACTGATAAAATAAATTCAGCAATATCACAGGATACACAATCATTGTACAGAAATCTGTTGCATTTCTAGACAACAATCATGAAGCAGTAGAAAGAGAAATTAAGAAAAGAGTTCCATTTACAGTTGCACACCAAATAATAAGATATCTATGAGTGAATCTAACCAAAGTGGTGAGTGACCTATACTCTGAAAACTGTAAAACAGTGATGAAAGAAATTCAAGATGACACAAAGAAATGGAAGGACATCCCATACTCATGGATCAGAAGTACAAATGTAGTGAAATTGTCTATACTTCCCAAAGCAATTGACACAATTAATGCAATCTGCATCAAAATACCAACAGCAGTTTTCACAGAACTAGAACAGTCCTAAAATTTGTATGGAACCACAAAAGACCCCAATCTTCAGAGTAAACATTCTTTATGTGAAGTGATAATTATGGATGGCATTATGCCTCTGGATCTTCTGCTCCAAAACACATGACCTCTGGCCTAAGCATATGAACAAACGTTAGACATATCCCAACCAAGGATCATTCTGCAAAATACATTCTACAAATGTACCCTCAAAACTTTGCAGATTATGAAAAATATGGAAAATCTAAAAATGTTTGTGACCAGGTGGAGCCTAAGGAGACAGGATGACTAAATGTAATATGCCAGCGGGGATGAGTCTGGAACAGGAGAGGTTAAAACCAAAGAAATCTGAGTAAACATATAAATTTTAGTTAATACTACCATATCTCTTTGGGATATTGATTATGATAATGTACCAACTCATATGACATCAATAGTCAGAAAACAGTCTGATGTATGTGGAGACTCAGTACTATCTTCCCAATTTTTTATTGGTAACTAGAAGCCCATCATGAATGAAAACATTAGTAATCATGGTTTTATTTTTCAATACATAATATTATATAACTAGTTCTAGTATTAGTTACTAGTGATGGCCATGTACCTATTCTTGTTGTTTTTACTATTGTTTAATTTAAATAATAGCATTCATGGTACAGAAAGCTGAATGCATGATAAACACTTCATAGAAACGTCTACTTCACATATTTTAAGATAACGTATGTATATACCACTGGGTATGTAAATTAAGTGTTTTTCTGATCTTGAACGAACATGTCATTGAATGGCTTTCCATAAAGGTGGTTATCCTAGATAATGAATGATACTCAGATTTTACAGGATGTACTCACATCATGCCTGAACATTGTCAAAAATAAAAATATACACACGGCCAGATGAATCATTGTGACTGGCTCACTTATTGTAAAGAATCCTTGCTTTAATATTTTCACGCATATTTTTGGCAGGAATACAAGAGAATCACATATCTCCAAATCAAAGAGATATTCAAAGACTTGAATAATGATAGGGAGTTCAAGGGGTTAGACTTAGAGCCACAGAGTTGATCTTCACCTATGATTGGGACATGGCCACAGTTTCACAGGACATGATCATTGGGCCGGCAGTGATGGCTAAAATATTATTTAGGGCTATACATTTAATTAAAAAATGTATGTGTAAAAATTTGGGTTTGGAATGTTAAGAAAAATCACAGGCCCAACGTTA